AATATAGATGTAGCGTGGCTCTACCACGTACAAAAAGTTATTAAGTATAGAAGAATCACGTTGTGTTTCTTCCTAGTATTCCCAGGACAGAGGTAGGTATTTTCAGACCCAGTGGTAAAGTTAAAAATTACTATAGTCAACCAAATCTAAGAAATACATTTTGACAGCTGTCAGACTTATTGCACCAAGCATGCCAACCAAAAAATCGGAACGTACAATATTCGATTCTTAAAAAAATCGATATCGATTATTTAGAGTTAGTAATCATTTACAGTTTGCTTTGAATAATACCAGAATAAATTAAAAACGGATAATTTAAAACACAAGAACACAAGATTTATCAGTTTCTTCGTATTTGTTGTTACTGCTTATTTCTAGAGACACAGTTATAAAAATTTAAGATTGAAACTAGATTAAAAATAAATTTACTTATTCAATCACTTTCAGTACATCTTGTAGGCATGTCGTTGTTTACATTAATTATTATTTGATTTTCAATAATGCAGTCAAAATTAATGTCTCTTTCAAAGTCATCCATAATCATTTTTTGTTTTTTCTACCACTTTTGCCCCGTCATCCTTTGTGACATGGGCACACGCTTCAACGAATTTTTTTTATAGCATTGGGTGACAAACGAACACACAGTCCACCTAATGGTAAGTGGTAACATTTATACTCCATTAAGAATCGAAATGCAAATGCGTTTTCAACCCTGAGGACTAAGATGGAATGCCTCGATTCCAGTAAAAAGGGTCTCCGGTTTTTTACACTAACCATATGAAACACATCAGCATTACGCTGCTATTTTACGTTGGTATTCTGTGAGAGAATGTTCCTGCCCTGGTTGAGACGACCCATTCGTGCTACAACTTTAATCTAGATGTAACATGGCTCTACCACGTAAAAAGTTATTATAGAAGAAATAGTCAAAAAGTTAAAGCCGAGTCACAAAATAAGAAGACAAACACAAAATTACAAAATTATGCACAGTAAGCTCTCGAAACAGAAACTTTTTTATTCAATATAGATTACGAATAATACTTATTGAAAGTCACTTTTTTCATTTATCACTGGTTCGCCATGAACGTACTAAGAACAACGGACGGAATTCCGTAAACTATCATATTGAAGCACCATAGTAAGCTCGGTAACGTTTATTTACACGTTAACACCCACACATTCAAATAATAGTAAGCTCGGCGTCCGCCATTACACTGCTAGCGTTGATGAAGGACACACGCAATAAGTAATCGAAATAACTTTTTAATTATGCCAACCTGCGTTGTAAAATGTTGTTCCCGGAGCACTTTACGTGATAAAAAAAACAAGGAATCACTTTACACAGGTAAGTACACTCTTTAACGCATTATTTTGATTAATTATTAATTGTATCTTTTCGTAATGTATGTAACAATATTTTTCTTTGACGAAATTAATGTTGCCAACTTTCGAAATTTTATTTCCCTAACTTTATAAAAAAATAAGTAATAAGTATACATGAGATTAAATTAACTTAATTAATAGATACATTAAAGTGATTACCAGTGTTTCCAACGTGTGAAAATAAATCTTCCTTATCACCGAAGTGCTGAACAATGTTCGTTAACATTTTTAAGGTTTCCGAAGGAAAATGAATGGAGAAAAGATTGGATTCAGATAATTAGAGTGTAGAAGACAAATGGATTGGAATCCAAGAGTTTGATGACTACAGAAAATTGATAATAGGATACCTTGCTGGAAGCATAACACACTATGCGAAAAACAAAATAAATTGTCAAGCCTGTACTTCCCGATTAACCACAGATATGAAATACTCTTTTCACAGTCTTCTAAATTTAAAAACTAGAGGTGGCTTAAGTTTCCCATCACAAGATGTGTATGAAATTTGTTTGCTCTGTGAAATAGTGGTAAAAAAAGTAGTTAAAGAAAATATAACTATATACAACGACAAGCAACATAGCTATATGTAGGTAGCGATAAAGTGTTTTTAAATTTAGAGTCTGAGCATATGTACTTGGGAGAAAAACACAAAATAAGTCTAATAAAATACATAGCAGAAAAGTATCTAACCATTAGGTTTCACCATATATCAAAAATGGAAGGAATTCTAAGAACACATGAAAGCAGGAGGCAATATTACAAAAAATTAACACAACATAAGGGATTTTAGTATTATTTTATTATTTTATAAACTTTATTTACCTCGTCAACTAGATCATCGTTGACGTTATTTATGAGAAAAGCCCCGCTCAATAATTTAGTAAATTAATATAATTCTAAATTTTTGTGTACAGAAACGTACGTAATTTCATATTTTTAAGCCTTCTACATTTTAAATAAGCAAAATATAATAGGTTATATACGTATGAATACAAATATTAATAGAAGACCATAGTGTATTTTTTTCATGTCAGCTTAAGTTCCTATAAAACATTTTGACAACTAACTAACTTCGTTTGATTTTAACTTATACAAGCTAACTTTCTACTTTTTATATTATTTATAAATTATGAAACTATTATTATGGACTTATAAGACGTACGTATTTAGTCATATTTATATGTGAATATCAATATAAAATTTTGGGGAAAGTTTCTTCAGCTGGCAACTCTCTCTCAACACGCACACATTAAAACCCGCCGCCATTACGGTACTTCAATCTGTACAGTGACAGCACTCCGTCCGTTGTTCTTAGTACGTTCATGTGGTTCGCAAAAAAAACCTCTGTCCTGAGAAGAACCAGCAATAAACCCAACGGGACTAGTTTAAAAAAAATAAGAGCTTACAATCATGCGTGTCACAATTTAACAACACAAAACCACCCGTCCCAGGGGTTGTTATCACCCATAAATTCCTCAATATTAAAATAACCCTTTTTATATAAACTTAGTTTAACAAATTTTTGAACTGTGTGTACTTACGTCAAATTTTGTATATTTTCTGGCATTTTGTTATAAAAGCGTATATATACATCGCCTCAAAAATGAATTACTGATTCTGTGGAGTCGAGTAACTGGTACCGAAATGGCTGGACATAGAAATTATGTAGTGGTTATTTTAGCACGGCCTTGTATATGAGTTTTTTTTGCTACAAAAATTTACTTTGACAAAGTGAAAAAAATAAACTTTTCATGATTCATGTAATTTAAGGAATTTTGAAAATAAAAATTAAATTAAACAAATAATACCTTAAAGAAATTAATGATTCGATTATTAGAATATTTTTACCGATTATTTGAATATGTTTCCAATTATTCGCATAACAATGAATTTTAATCATTCAAACACTATGGTAATATACATAGCGACATGTCATTGAAACGACGTCAAGTATAAAAAGTTAATACTGGTTATTTTTTTATATTTTGCTTTCTTTGAAAAATTCAAATTTAAATGAGTGATAAAAAACTATACACGTAGTATAGATAACTTCATAATTCTTCGGATTTACGTAAAAGGTTATTTTAAATCGTGTGAGCACGCTTGTGCAAAGTTATTGCGGAATAATTAATGTGAAACGTCAAAAGATATAATTCTTAGATTTGGTTGACTATAATCATCTCACAATCAATCACCAGTCTTTTTTCTTCATTCAAACTATTTTTTTATTAATAATTACTAAAAAATAAATCATTATATACTTATACATACTTTAAATGAATTATTCTTTAATTTATATATAAACTATCGGTTCCCCGCGACTTCATTCGCGTGAAATTTATTACGATTGAATTTCATGTATTTGAATTTTTTGCGAAAGACCCCAATTCTTTTTCTAAAATAAAAATAAGGTTAAGTTACTCTACTCCTTATAACATCAGCTATCTGCCAGTGAATGTCCTGACAAAATTGGTTCAGCGATTTCGGAGATTAGCCGGAACAAACAGAAAAAGACACAAAAATTTCAAAATTGTTTTAAAAATATTTCATATAGCTGTGCCCCGTGATTTCACCCGTGTATATCACGTGTCTGCGCCGCGCGACATGACATGACACCTCGCTCATTTAGTTCAATCACATAAAGCTAAAAAATTGACAAAAGTAATGTAGTACTTTTATCTATCGGCATAATATGTATACATCAAAGTTAAATTTTATCCACTCTCTCTCCCCCTACCGGATAAACGCCCCAGAAAGTGCCCCAAAACGCGTTTTAAAGATTTTAAAGATAACTGTACACGGTATATGTAAAGTTTGCAGGCACATACGAAAGCGATATCATTTATAGTTTTTGCGCAATCTGACATAAAATATGAACATTTCTTATCTTTAACCCATTCCATGCCATAGATAAATAAATATGTAGCAAGCTATTCCATGCCAGCAACGCACTCGCGTGCGTTTTAGTTTTTTTTACTTGTGTGCCTGCAACGCACCCGTATGCGTGTAGTGTATGTTTTAATAAAGTATCATTTATTCACTGTGCGTTGCATTATTGTTGCCATTTTTTAATACACCTCAATCTAGATTATATTTCTGATATAGCAACACCGTTACAGTAGTAAAAGAAATGTCACATTTGAATTGACGCCGGTTTTTGTGTTTGTGATTTTTGCTAGTATTATAAATCAAGTTTTTACAGTGATTTAGGTGTTAAAAGGTAAGTAAATATGATTTTTTAATCAAATTTAGTCATTTATTTATAACAACAACGTAATTTTAGGTCTACTGATAATATTTTGGATAAATTTTGAAGTCCAAAACATACCAACGCTAATGTTGCGTTCAATGGCATTTATGAACGACTTTGTTCATGGATGGTGTTACACATCGACAATAATCGGTCGCTCAATGTTACTACTGCTATTGTAACTTTATAATATTATTTTATAACTTGAGATATTTAACTTCAGTGTTCGTATTACATACCCTACCTACATGGTACAAAATAAAACCGTTTGTGAAAAAACGCTTTTATTTTTAAATTTGAATGTGATGAATTGTGTAAAGTAACTAGTATTTTTGTCGTTTATAGGTCTTTTGTTTTCTCCTCAAGCATTATGGCAAATAATAATAGAGGTCGTCGTTTGGTTGAATTGTCACTTAATACTGACGAAGGTACTAATTTAGAAGCTAGTAAAAAAAGTTATTCACAAGATAGGTACAGACAGTTGATCTTTATCTATTAATATGAATGGTTAGAATGATTTTATCTATTTAAAATCAATATATTGAATGTTGTTATTTTTTAAAGTTCAACAAATCGGATAATAAAAATGTTTCAGAGATAAAAGTAGCACATCAGGTTTAAAGCGGAAAAGGGCGAGCTCTTTATATACGGCAGTAGAAGTGGAACCTAAGAATATTCGGCGAAATTCTATTGAAACACGATGCCCAATATTGCCATTCCCACATTCTGTTCAAAGGTAGGTAACCTACACATTTCTTTTCTTTAGTTTTGAGAGTATTTTTAAGTTTAGTTTTTCAATAGAATATTGTTGTTTCAGTAAACAACAACTATTCAATCAGTCTCCAGTACTTTGCACATCTTCTAGTGGTGTAGTTAAAACTTGGTCTGTCGAAAATGTGTCAGAATTACATTCAACTTCGAAGACCATTGTAATCGATCGTTGGTTGCCCTAGCAGACTGTGATAACAAATCATTTACTAAAATCTTGTATAATGTATTCTGCTAGAATACCTACATTGCTTAATCTTTTAGCTTTTTTTAGATACTGTTTTACATAACTATGTTGAAGCTCTTGGGCTAAAATATTTTCTGTATTTGCTAAATAAATATTTTTCATTTTACTATAATAATTATTATGAAAATACGTACTTATAATATAATTATGAAAAAGGAGAATTAAAGACTGCTTTGATCTTATATGAGTATTTTTATTTCTGTCACCTACCCTACACCCTAACAATTTAACTATTGGTTCATGTTTCCCAGTCGTGCATAAAGCCATCCACTATATACTCTCAAAAGTGCGTTCTCGGATCTTTCGAAAAACTTTTTTCATCATGTGCCACCCACGCACCGTATGCGTTTGGTGTATTTTTTCGTATTTATCAACAATATTTATTTAAAAAAAAAATCTAAATACATCATTAGTAATCCATTTCCTTCCATAAAACATAATAAAAACTGGTGGCACCTGGTCAACAACTTTTAAAAAAAGGTGGCATCGAATGAGTTAATCGATTTTTTTTGCTCAAAGTTTAGGTTTATTAAAATTTCAAAGTTTACCGCCAAAATATGTATGACTAAAGTTAAGAATAGAATATGCTCTTTAAAAAGAGGTACAAATTATTTCTTAACTCTTTCATTATGATAAAACTATTTATTTGAATAAGAATTAATACTACGAGGGTGGATTGAAAAGTAATCGGCCTAACACAGATCCATTCAATTCTAAAAATCAAATCTACCCACATTATTTAGTTCAGTTCAGACTAGTTCATTGTGTGAAGTTTGAAACGTGTGCGATAATTAGTTGTGATTTTATAAATTTATTAACAAAGTAATCGGACATAATTTCCGCGAATGGAGAAAATCGAGCAGCGTGCCGTCATTAAGTACTTCCATAAGAAGGGGCTATCATCAAAAGCCATTCATGATGACATGGTCAGTACATTAGGCGATTGTGCTCTGTCATATTCATCCGTCAAAAAATGGATAGCAGAATTTAAGCGTGGTAGAGAGAGTGTGAAAGATGAACCCCGCTCTGGAAGGCCTTCGACGTCAACTACTGACGAAAATATTAAAAAAGTACTTGATTTAATAATGGGAGACCGCAGATTAAAAATTAGAGAGATAGCCGAGATTATAGGCATCTCTTACGAACGAACTCAAAACATCATTGTCAACGAGTTGGGTTTCCACAAGGTGTCTGCGAGGTGGGTTCCGCGACTGCTTTCAGTTGAACAAAAAAGGACGCGATTGACTATTTCACGCGACTGTTTGGAGTTATTTAAAGCCGATGCAGATGATTTTTTGAATCGTTTTGTTACTATGGACGAAACATGGGTTCATTACTGTACACCGGAAACAAAACAACAATTAATACAGTGGAGAAGACCTGGTTCACCACCCCCTAAAAAGGCTAAGTCGATTTTGTCGGCAAATAAGGTGATGGCTTCAGTATTCTGGGACTCGAAAGGTGTGATTACGATTGATTATCTTGAAAGGGGTCAGACTATAAACTCTGATTACTACTGCACCTTACTACGTCGTTTACGAGAGGAAATAAAAGAAAAACGTCGAGGAATGCTCAGAAGAAAAGTCCTGTTTCATCAAGATAACGCCCGTGTTCACACGTCAGTACAGTCAATGGCTGAAATTCACAACTGTGGCTTTGAACTGTTACCGCATCCGCCGTATTCACCTGATCTGGCACCATCAGACTTCTTTCTGTTCCCTTACCTAAAAAAGCACTTGGGAGGTCAAAGATTTTCGACAAACGACGAGGTCAAAGCAGCTGTAGACGCATATTTTGACTCTAAGGAAGAATCATTTTTTTTCAACGGTCTAAATGCTTGGAAGGGGAGGTGGCAAAAGTGTATTGAACTTGATGGTGATTATGTAGAAAAATAAAAATATAACTGATTTAGTATGTCTTTATTTTCTTGGTTAGGCCGAGTACTTTTCAATCCACCCTCGTATGATACGACTGTAACCGACTTGTTTCGAGCGGCGTAATTACATTTTAGAACACAAAAGGTACTATTGTGACTTTAGTTAGATATATTACTTGCGCGGACTTTTTTGCAGGTAATTTTTGCATGCACATAATTTTTATGTATCATCAAGTTTTCTCAGCGCACGCCAATTAATGAATTTTGTAGGCAAAATTTAGCTACTTTGGGTTACAATCTTCTTAAAGATCTCCAATTTTTTCGAAAATAAATTATAGCCTATGTTATTTTGTGATAATTTAGCTTTCTATTGGAGAAAAATTATTAAAATCGGTCTAGTAGTTAAGGAGCTTATTCGGTACAAACAAAAAAAATCTTTCTTCTTCATAATATTAGTATAGATAATTAATTTTTTTTTGTTATAATTTTTAACTTTTTTTTGGTCCTTTTTAATTTTGATTATTTTTTTATTAGAAATATTATTTGTAAAAAGTTATTGTCGTTAGATATATGATGTCGCAGCTTTTTTGTAGATATTGATGCATTCTATAACACTGTTGTACATCACTTTGCTCTATTGTCAAGTTTCCGCAGCGTACGCGATATACGGATTTTTCGACGTTACTATTGCATATTTTAACATGAAAAAGTAGTTAGTGTGACATAACTGTAATAGACATAGGGTATCGCGGACTTTGTTGTAGATATTGTTATCTTCTGTAAAACTGTAGTACATCACGTTGCTCTATTGTCAAGTTTCCGCAGCGTATGAGATAAGGATTTTTCGGCGTTACTATTGCATATTTTAACATGAAAAAGTAGTTATTTTGACATAACTGTAATAGACATATAGTACCGCGGACTTTTTTTGTAGATATTAATATTTTCTATAAAGCTGTAGTACATTACGTTGCTCTATTGTCAATAGTTTCCGCAGCGTACGCTATGTAAGGATTCTTTTGGTATTTTTTTCACGCCGTGGGTTACATTAAAAGTTTTCATACGGATCCCTAATCTTTTGAAAATATACTATTATAGCCCACTATAGCCTATGTTCATCAGGGATAATGTAGGATTCCAATGGTGAAAGAATTTTTCAAAACAGTCCAGTAGTTTTGGAGCTTATTCAATTCAAGCAAACTTTTTCTCTTTATAATATTAGTGTAGATAGTGTAGATGTAGATTTGTGGCAAAAAAAATAATGCGTGTTCTCTATTGTTGGTTCTAACGATTTGGTATATAAATATAAACAAATAAAGACTTAAATTGGTTTATTGCAGAACTTTTATAAAATATTATTGTTTACAAAATTCAAATGAACAATTTTATTATTGTGATTATTTGTAGACAATTGTTCTTAGGTTTAAAAAATGGTTTTACTATATATACGATTTTTAAATAATAGTTTGTATCAGATTCTTAACATTATGAACCGCAACTCAAGCATTCATCCTTATTTCGTAACGAGCAAGCAATCATTGACATGTTAGCCTCATCTTTATCACTTCTTCCATTTATAAGTTGCACTTTTGATTTGTCAACTGTAAACTGGATGGCATTAGCAGCAGGCTTAATTCGCAAATAATACATTCCTGTTTTCAAGCCCATTTTCCAAGCATAAAAGTGAATTGAGGTTAATTTACCATAGTTTGGTTCAGCAACGTGAATGTTAAAAGATTGACTTTGGTCTATAAAAGCTCCTCTATCAGCAGCCATTTTTATTGTAGTTTTAACAGAAATTTCCCAAACTGTTTTATATAAATCTCGTATTTCCTTTGGTATACTTTCTATGTTTTGAATGGATCCATTATTATGAATTATAAGATTTTTCATATCCTCATCCCATAATTCTGCCTGCGTTAAATCTCGCAGCAAATGATGATTTACTACTTGAAATTCTCCCGATAAGACTCGTCTTTGATAAATGTTCGACGTGAATGGCTCAAATGATTCGTTATTTCCGAGGATTTGTGCTGTAGATGCTGTGGGCATAGGAGCTATTAAAAGAGAATTACGAAGGCCTTGTTTTGCAATTTTTTCTTTAAGAGCAGACCAGTTCCAGAGATCAGTTGGAGTTTTACCCCACATGTCATACTGCAGAATACCTTGACTGGCTGGACTACCTTCATATGTACTATAAACACCATGTTTTTCAGCAAGTTCACAGCTGGCTTCCAACGCTCCATAGTAAATTGTTTCAAAAATTTGCTGATTTAGTTTTATTGCTTCTTCACTTTCATATGGAATACGCATCAATACAAATGTATCAGCTAGACCTTGTACTCCTATACCTATAGGCCGGTGTCTCATATTGGAGTTCTTTGCTTCAGGCACTGGATAGTAGTTTACATCAATTATTTTATTTAAATTCTGTGTTATTATCTTAGTTACCTCTTTTAATTTTGTAAAGCTATAAGTTTTGTCTTCATTGATAAACCTGTTTAAAGCAATTGAAGCTAAATTGCACACTGCAACTTCATCTTCTGAAGTGTATTCAACAATTTCAGTGCAAAGATTACTACATTTAATGGTGCCAAGATTTTTTTGGTTACTTTTCCTATTGCAGGAGTCCTTGTAAAGCATATATGGTGTTCCTGTTTCTACTTGTGCTTCGATTATTGCTTTCCACAATTCTTGAGCTCTTACTTGTTTAACAAACCTATTTTCTCGTTCATATCTTTCATAGAGAGATTCAAATTCTTCACCCCAACAATCAGCAAGTCCGGGAGAGTCATGAGGGCACATTAGGCTCCATTTTTCGTCTTTCTCCACTCTTTTCATAAATAAATCAGGAATCCACAAAGCATAAAACAGTTCCCTTGCTCGTACCTCCTCCTTACCAGTATTCTTTTTCAAATCTAAAAATTCGAATATGTCCGAGTGCCACGGCTCTAAGTATATCGCAAACGCTCCTGGTCGTTTATTACCACCTTGATCCACATATCTTGCTGTATTATTATATACTCTTAACATTGGCACAAGTCCATTAGAAACACCATTGG